AAAGTGCATCAAAAGTGCATCAAAAATGCATCACTAAAGTTCAATAAACAAAAAGAAAAAACAATAAGAAAAATCTAGAAAAACTTCTTATTCAGAAGGAACTGATCTCTTGGATTGCTTTAGTATCTTGTGACAAGTTACTTGGAGAGGTCTTGGGACAAGTTACTTGGCATCCCAAGTAATCAGGTATCTCAAGTATTCACAACACAAGTTGACTCACAAGTATATCAAATCGCAACTGCTCCTCCTTATCAGAGTACATAAGCATCCAAAGTAATCAGCTATCTCAAGTATTCACAACACAAGTTGACTCACAAGTGTATCAAACCCCAAGTACTGACTTCAGCTTAAAGTGCAAAAGCCTCCAAACTAATCAGGCAAGATCAAGTATTCACAACACAAGTTGACTCACAAGTACATCAAACCTCAAGCATTTCAAATTCTTTCAATGCAAGACCTAAGAAGTCAAGTGGTGACAGCCCTCAAATCTCATCCAACAATGAACAAGTCACATGGCACAAGAAAGAACTTCCCAGAAACTACCCCCAAGCACTAAAGACTGCTGACTTTTTAGAGCCTCTTGCGGTTGCTGCTGTGAAGCTTCTGCAGGAGACGCAACTGCTTCTGAGTCCTGACAGGTAAAGGCAGATTCACAATGCATATCAAACCTCAAGTATGTAATGCATTCCATTTACTGCACAGGCTTTCAATTTTGGAACTTTCCCACCTCAGGGTCGAAGATGATGTTGATGTCGCACTTGGTGTGGACATGTCCTTTTTCCTTTTCCTCCTCCTCCTGGATCTGTCCTTCTCCTGACCCTTCTCCTTCTCCTGTTCCTTTTTCTTATCCTTCTTCTCAGTCTTCTTCTCTGTCTCATCCTTCTTCTCTGCCTTCTCCTCCTCCTCACCCTTCTCCACATCCTTCTCTTCCTCCTCCTCCTCCTCAACACCCTCTCCCCATCCAAAGGATTCAATGAGGGCGCTCTGAAGATATTCATCTTCCCAGCATTCCTGGGATGAACAACAAATGACAGGACAGCTGAAGTTAAAGCATCTACTAAAAAAGTAAAGCATTAGTTCAGAATGTATAGACCAGTTTCTCCTACCTCCTCATCTTCAAAGGATTCTGCAGAAGCCAGAGGTGGTGGTCCAGGAGGGGTCTTTGGCTGTGGCACAGGAGGACGAGCAAAGTTCTTGGCCTTAATCATGGTCTCAAGTACTATAAAAGCTGCACAAACACATAAAATACTATCAAAATCAAAAGGTTCTTTAAACAAAGGGTCCATAAAACTGCAAAATAGAATCAACAGAAAGGTTACTGAAATAGAGAAAGTGACAACAGATCCTCTCAGGTGGATTTGTGTTGGAGCCCCAGGATATGCATTTGGAAACATTGGTAAGGTCGGAGGAGGTGGAGGTGGCACTGGTGGACAAATCAGCACATCCTCTCTGGCCACTTGGAACTCTAGATCCTGCCAAGGTAACAAGAAAAATCACAAGCAAGTACATAAAGGACAATTATTATTAAAGACACCATGCATAAATTGACTTAAGAAACTAAGACACAGGTTCTGACTGCTTTTGAGAGGGTCAAGCTCCTTCCATGTTGTCAGAGAGGGAGGTCTTGGGTTGGCTCGTAGGATTCGAAGGGAGTTGTTCATGTCCTGTTCCTGAAAGCAAAGTTTGATGACACTGAAAGCAAAGTTTGATGACAATTCACAAAGAAGGTGCCCCAGAACTTGCCCCACAAGAAACAGCTCAGGTGACCACAGTAAAAAATCTGGTAACCAAACAATGTTTCTCAAGTACTTCCCAAGTCACACTTGCAAACTTCAAGAAAACGCTCATGAACTCAGGGATGTTCCACCTGTCCTTCCTGACAGCTCTGATGTCCAGAACCCAATCGCTCTCGATTCCCAGCCCCACCAAGGTTTGTCTGATGACCTCAAATGCACAAATAGGAAGAATCTAGATCATATGGCTCCAAGAATACCTACCTAAACAACATATGTTCAATTTGCTGCACAAGTATTAACACCACAACCAAAAAACTTCTCAAGTAAGGTAAAGTTCATTCTTCCCAATGTCATACCGCACATTCCTGACATAGATCCTGAAGCCACCATCATTTTGAGACATGGCTGAATGCGCAAAGGAACTATGAGGAATGGAACATAAATGAACTGTGAGAAATGGAACATAACTGAACTATGGGTAGAAGACATGTGATTACTTGTGAGGTCTAAGGGGATTGCGTGTCTCTGCTACAGTGCATCTTGTGTCTTTCTATTCTGTGCTTTTGTGATTTGTCCATTGAAACCCATGCTTCCAAGAACCTGTTGGCAACAAGGAGAAAAATAACAAACTGGACATGAACTCACATGTAAAGGCACTCACAAGTAACAAGCTCAGGTACCAAAGTCTCAAACCTCTCAAGTACTCAGCTCCCAAGTACTCAGCATCAGAAGCAATTCACAATCTTAAGCATTTCAACTACCTCAACACATTCTTTTTGAAACCCTTCTGCCAACATTACCCCTGTTCATTCAGTTCAGAATGATTCGACTAATCCACATCTACAAGCTGTTCTAGCAGCTTGCCCCTCAGCTCAAGCAAACTGGCCACATTCAGGCCAGAGGCCACATGAGGAACCAAAAGGCGGCAAAGTTTTTGGTGGTGCCCAATCACTGATGATCCAATGATGGATTTCCACTTCTTGCTGGATGGATCCAAGTATCTGATGTACGATTTCTCTGTATACATCTCCAGCTTGCACTGGCCATACTTGGAGCTCTGAAACTTGAAGCTGGACACACCAGGTGGCACTTCCAAACCACAGCCCTGTGCCTTCTGCGCATCCTTCTCCTTCTTGTTCTTCTGCTTCTGCTTCTTAGATTGGGCTGGTTTGGCAGGGCCTGGATTCTTTGGCTGAGAAGGCTTCTTCTTGGCCGCTTTGCCTTTCTTCTTCTTGCCACACCCAGGCTTGCTAGGCTTCTTCCCATTGGCCTGAGGAGGCTTGAAGGCAAGAGCTCCTTGGAGCACATCCTCTTCGCTGATCACAGGTGCAGACCCACTGGAAGGAACCACACTCCTGTGACCAGACCCTCTCTTCCCATCAATGATGTCCTGGAAGATGCTGGGGACTGGCTTCAACTCAGCAAACTTCCGCTTGGGCACACATGGGGAGGGAAGTGGCGGAGCAGGAAGGGCCAGCTGCAACCCCTCTGGATCTACTCACACTTTCACATGTTGATCCCCTTCTTCTGGATCAAAGCCTTGACTCACAAATTCCGCTGGAAGACACACCTTCTCAAGAATCATGTCAACCTCCTGCTGCTCTTGGATGCTCAAGCTCCTGTAGACTTTGGTCTTTGTCGAAGGTGAGGTCTTCAAGGTCCTGACCATGGTGAGCAAAATCCTCAGGGTCAAATCGATGCGATCCAAGATGTCCTGGGTGCTTCCTTGCCTTGGGCGAAGCTCAAGCTGCTTTCTCTCAAGTAATACCCGCAGGGCTTTCACCA